AGATGGCAACAAAGGAAACAATAATCAGATCGAAATCAAATTCTTCCGTTCGGCTCCTGATCCTCTCTCTGCAACCCTAAGCTCCTAGCCTACTTCGCACGTCTTTGCCACCGCCACTGGAGGACTCCTCAGTCCGGCAGTACGTCAGTCCGACTCCCTCAGTCTCGCCGCAGGTCCGCCGTCAGAAGTCCGGCCGCGCCTCCCTCCGTCGCGAGCCAGCTGCCTCCCTCTTGTAAGGTGGGCGAGTCTTTCCCCTTCATTTCGTTTATCCTAGATTTCGGCGGACTGACGGACAGCGAGAGATTGGTAGAGGAAGTAAGAACAAGTGAGAGTGGAATGAATTGTAAAAGAGGCAGAGAGAAGAGCTTGTTTATCGAGCAACTCGTATGTGAATTCCAATTTGTTTCTTTTTTTGGGCGGAGTGAAGATTCTTTGTCTCCGTCTAGGCTTTTGCTTAGGTTGGAAGTAATAATGTTCGACATTCCGTTGGATTGCGCTTTATTCTGTACTTGGTCTGTTAAAGTTCCTCGTTTGTGGGAAGAATCTGTAGTTGTTGATCTTCGGGTGGTCCTGAATTTCTGTACTCTCTCTTTTTGTTTAATATATTTTCTCACTTGTGCTGTTTCTTTGAATCTATTTGTTGCAGAGGGGGGGAGGCGTTGGGGTGTCGAAAAAGTTTGAATCTTTTGAATTGGTTTTCCACTTTTCATGCTTGAAGTGTGTTCAGAACAATGCAGAAGGATATAGGATCACCAACATCTACGCCTAGATTGCGGCATAGGAGACGATCGAATGAGGTTTGTTGTTTTTGCTTAACTCTGTAGTCTGGACTCAAAATTGTTCACTCTCAAGGTGCATATGTTCTGTTTGCTGCTGTTCATTTCTTGAGGATCATATTGGTTTCATGCCCTGTCTGCGATCTTTCTGAAGCTTGGTTCCTAGAATGGTTCAATTGTAAATAGTGGTGAGTATTTTCACATTAGTTAAGAGGGCTGATATATGTATTTGGTTGCCAGATTCCACAGGAGATAAATAAATCAAATGGCGACCATTTACTCATTAATGACCAAAACAAGTACAAATCAATGTGGATTCGCACGTTGTCATCCTTTTGGATGCTCGGGAGCTTTGTGTTTGCTCTTTATATGGGGCATCTATACATTTGGGCCATGGTGGTGGTTATCCAAATATTTATGGCAAGTGAGCTCTTCAACTTACTTAGGAGAGCTCATGAAAATAAGCGTCTTCCTGGGTTTAGGCTATTGAACTGGTAAGCATGCAAGTGTTTCAGAGGGTGCCGATTCAGGTTCCTGTTTGTTTATCTATTGATATATTGAATTCCGCGCAACCAGGTTATACATGAGGATGACGTACTAATTTATTGTCTTATGGTGATGTGGCAGGCACTTCTTCTTCACTGCAATGCTTTTTGTATATGGCCGTATTATCAGTCAGCGACTTGTGAACACGGTCACATCAGATAATATCTTCTACAGGCTTGTTGGTGGTTTTGTCAAGTACCACATGGCCATATGTTATTTTCTATATATTGCAGGTGCGTAAGTTTTATAATTTGCCCTGTTAAGTGCTCTGCAATGTTGCTAATAGGGTAGTGCGTTCTGTTGGTCTGTTTTTTAATCAGTAGTTAATGCTTTTCTCATTTCTTCAGGGTTTGTGTGGTTCATCTTGACATTGAAGAAGAAGATGTACAAGTATCAATTTGGCCAATATGCTTGGACACACATGATTCTCTTTGTAGTATTCGCTCAATCTGCATTCACTGTGGCCAATATCTTTGAAGGGATCTTTTGGTAAAGCAACTTCCCTTTGCTGTCACTGTCCCTTGATATTCATATAGCTGTTGATTGTTTTTTAAAAGCCACGTTATGATGGCTGAAATTCAGGAACAATTATATGTTATTGTTAGGCTGGATGATTTCAAAAAAAAAAAAAAAAGAGAGCCTGAAACAGTTAATGTTGTTTTATGATCTAGTCTTGGTATCTTCATTTATTTTTATGCAGCCTGAGAACTTGAGACACATATATATGCAGGTTTCTTCTCCCGGCGTCACTTATCGCAGTCAATGATGTTGCTGCTTATTTCTTTGGCTTCTTTTTCGGCAAAACTCCTTTGATCAAATTGTCTCCAAAGAAAACGTGGGAGGGTTTTATTGGAGCTTCTGTTGCCACTATGATTTCAGCATTCGTGGTAGGTTTCATTCCATTGACTCATTTGCATTTAAGCGCTCTATTTTTATCTTTCATGAGTCTGCTTGTATTAAGCTCTTGTTCCATAGTCTTTTTGGTCTACAAGATTTCAGAACATTGCCTGTATTGATCTAAGATTTACAACAATAGTGTTGAGAAAGAGAGATTCACAACCGTAGGCTTTGCCTGGTGATGTGGTTTCTTCGTTTTATAGATGGTCTATTTGTAGGGTAATTGGACGGAACATTTAACACGAATGGGTTCGTAACTTGGCTAGTGTGCGCTCATGCCTGATGTAGAAGAAAGAAATGAGAGATTTTATAACGAGGCACATGCCAAGAGTAGAGATTTATGTCAATGTTCCTCTTAATATTCCTCTTAATGTTCTTTTGGGTGGAGAAGGATTTGCCATCTATCAGGTTATACTGATTTGATTACTATCTGATGTATGTACTTATCTCATGCAGCTTGCAAACATCATGGGCCAGTTCCAGTGGCTAACATGTCCTAGAAAAGTATGTTTTTCTTAGTCTCTAAAGAATGTACAGTCTTTCTGTGAAAATAGAAAAGAGTGGTCTTGGATTTTATAGAACTATCCCTCATTGTGAGGTAAACCACATGCAGGATTTGTCGACAGGGTGGCTTGACTGTAATCCTGGCCCTCTTTACAAACCTGAGCCCTATCCTTTACCCGAATGGCTTCCTCATTGGGTGAGTGATTGCATGGAAATCTATATCTTCATGATGATTTGAAATCAATCATCTTGAAACAGGAGAGTGATGCTCGTGATAGCTGACATAGTTTCTTTTCCTTATGTTCTATATATAGGTACCTTGGAAGGAGATTTCAATCTTGCCAGTCCAGTGGCATGCGCTGTGGCTGGGTTTATTTGCATCAATTATAGCTCCTTTTGGAGGCTTCTTTGCCAGTGGATTCAAGAGGGCCTTCAAAGTGAAAGTAGGGTTCTTGTTCATGACTACAAATGATGAATGAATGAGTGGATTTAACAGGGTTTTCCATGGTTTCTGACATGGTATTTCTCATCTCTTCTGTCTTGATATAAAAATACAGGATTTTGGGGATAGCATACCAGGACACGGTGGATTCACAGATAGAATGGATTGCCAGGTAAGCATAGCAACCTCTATACCCACAAACTATCTTTTTTCTAATGTGAACTCCTTTGGATCATTGCTGATATGAACCCTCGCTCTTTCTTCATATGCATTGCAGATGGTGATGGCAGTCTTTGCTTACATCTATCACCAGTCGTTTGTTGCTCCTAACGACTCGTCGATCGAGATGATTATGAACCAGGTAGGATCTCGCTAGGATGAAATAAACCTACTCTAAACCGGTTTCGTTTATCTGTTTGATTTTGATATTATTCTTCGTTGGTGGGTGAGCAGATATTGGGCAGCCTAACGCTGGAAGAGCAGCGAGATTTGTACATGAAGCTAGGGCAGATACTTCAGGAGAGGCTTAGACTATCATCGTGAAGTTCTGTAGATAACATCTGTGCTTGCTTTTACTCTTGAGTGCTTACAAACTTCCCCACTCCCCTGATGGAAGATAAATCTTATAGCGGCGGCTTCCTTTTCTCGCCCCCCTTTTCCCTTTGGGACTCAAGCTTCTGTTTAGCTCTTATCCCCTTTTTTTGCAGCTAATATTATCATTCTTATCATATGGCCTTCTGATTTGTAATCGATATTCGCCCCGATGTATCATATTAGCTACACAAAATCTCTTCTTTGGTGCTAAACGATTTGTATTGCGGGGAATCGAGAGATTTCAAACTTGTTGAAGAAGATCCCCTCGAGTAACAGAAGTTGATGTCGAAGTTGTGATAACTATAAGTGTGATTGAATGGCTAGCATAGAACCCATTCTAAATAGTTTGGTGGGTTGTCTAACAATTGCTTCAAAATTAGATTGTTCAATGTGGACATACGAACGAGTTCAATGGTCAAGTTGATGTTTAACCTGACAGACGAGAACTCTTGGTCTGGAATAGAGAACTAACTCTGGAAGCTACACAAGTTAGATGTGATGGTGTGAGCATTTTCTACTTTGACAATTGTCTGAACCCTAATTAAATTGTTGAAATTAGTCGAACTAAAACTTAATGGATAACATGAAATTTTACAATCAATTTCAAAACAGGTTCTTTAGCTTGGGATGTCGGACGAAAACAAGTCGAGCTCCAGCTTCACTCCAAGACCACGTTGGTTGCATGGCTCTGCTCCAAATATTCGGTCATCCCTATCATTAGCATGCCAATCTTGTCTTGGTGTTTCAAAAACTCATACGTAGAAATTGTGAAGCTCGAATAGTTCATACGTACAAAAAGGCTAATTTTCTAGTCGACTGTCTACCTCATAAGGGACACTTTATATCACCAAGTACACAACGATATTGTTGCTCTCTTTGATCATCGTATGTTAGTGGTCGTTACGTGATTTTGTAAGTGTGGTTTTACTATCCATTCTGTTATTGCTCACATTTTCATAAATAAATCCAAGCAACATAGCAAATCAAGAATTCCAACCAACAACTCAAGAGGCCAAAACCAGAAAGAAATTCATTTAACTAGGCAAACACACCAACCATGCATGATAATTTGTCATGAACACAACAAAACTACTCACTACATAAAAAAAAAAGGAGAAAGAAAACAAACCGAACCAAAACAATCCAAAATCAAAACTTCAAACACCAAATCAGTAAACAAGAACACTCACAAAAAAAAAAAGCAGCAAAAAAAAAAAAAAAATCAAGTTCCCCAAACTCCATCAGCTCTCTATCACAGCCTGAACGATGGCAGCCGCCACGACGGACACGTCATGCACAGCCACGTTCAAGTCGGACAAGGGCGACTCCCCCGCCGCGAAATCCTCCTCGCACGACATGGCCTCCGTGGCAGCATCATTCGTCCCCCGGCTGGCGAACTTGTAGTTCCCTGTCCTCAGCGACATGAGCGTCTCGGGGACGTCCTGCTCCACCACAGCACGGTACCTTGAGGCGCAGGCGTTAAGAGCCTCCCTGACCGCCGGCTTGGAATGTTCCTTCTTGGCGAGGATGGTCTCGATTCGTCGGAGGGCAGCGGAGGCCTTGTGGGCGATGGCGCCCACCGTGATCTTGGCGAGGCCCTCGAGGTCGGTGTGGAAGGACTCAGGGCAGGAGACGAGGGTCTGGATGCAGAGGTCGTAGTAAGGGGTTTTCTTGCATGTCTGGTCGATGAGGTTGTTGCCCAGGATGTTTGGGATGCTCGGTGTCGCTTGGATTTGGATGGGGATCGGGTAGAGTGTCAGGAGGAGGACAAGGAAGATTGTGCTCCGTATCATTTTTTTCTTAATTGTGTTCTTTGTTTTTTGTGGGGGGTAATTAGTATGTATTATTTGGAATTTTGTTTTGGGTTTGAGAGAGGTTATATATATTTTGGGTTGAGATGACTTGATGCGGAAAAGATGGGGGAATGACTTTCACTGAGATAAATCATTAGGAGAAGCTTTGGGATCGGCTTGGTTTTAGGATCTCAAAACGTGGATGTCTTCATTTCCTTCTTATACACAATTATTAGCTAGGTTAAACTTGTAGGAAGCTAAGAGGTAGAGAATAGGTTGGTCCACTGCTTATTGGGTAAATTGTAAGTTCGGTAACTGGGTTTACTAAAATATTTCACGTTTACTATTAAAATTATTTAATTTCACTTATAATTATCATCTACTGTTATATTCCATTATTAACTTTTTTTATGTGACAGTCAACTTTCATATATAAGTAACGTTGCAAATAAAAAATAATTAACAATAAATTTCACCTCATTATAACAATAAATAAAACATAAAAATTATCATAACGTTTTCTGATGCTGGAGCTTCCCAAGCCTGAACTGCCTCCGGTCCCTAGAGTCGAGCTTCCTCCTCAGCCCAAACCTGCTTTAGAGCATATCAATGTAGCTAGTGTCAATTAACCAAATAAAATGATAGTCATAAGAAGAGTGTGATTGATTTAATTTTTTAGTCTACTAATGAACCGATATTTACACTCGTATTACAAAAGCGACCATTCTATCTCTTATCTACTTTCTTCCTTCAACAAATCATTATATAATCTACATCCGGTAAGAAAAGAACGAGTAACGCATGCACCAAATATGCTAAAGAACCAACATGAACCCAAATCAAGAAGAGGGCGTGAATAAATAATCTTAAGCAAATCAATGGATTTGCTTAGGACCTTGCAGGGGAATTTCTTGATAGCAACATAACCGTTTTGTGGATGATACTAACTTGCTAAGGGCAGGTTTCGGTGCACAACATCGGCTTCAAATGAAACGTGGTGAAGAAGACACCAGCTAGTCCGAGCATTTAGTCCACCTAAAATATCAATACCAGTGGTTGGGCTTTACCTATTTTTCATGTGATCTTATTGCTCTCTGTTTCTGTCCAACTCGCTTCTTAGTGTCTGGTGAAAGACCAAATCGAGTTGAAATTAGTTCGAGGATACCACAAGCTAACAATCATTAAAAATATTGAAATTAGAAAGAGTATTGTGAATTGGATGAGAGTTGCGTTGAAAGTGCTTTAACGCACCACTAACAGTCGTTAACCCTTTCTTCCTTTGAGTGCAAAAGCAAAACTCTGGATTTTCGGCCCTATAATTTTATCTACTTAATGTCATTTGTGTTAGGAAAACATTATAGTTATTTGGTTGTCTCTAATATCTCAAAGTCGAACATAAAATTATTCCTCACTATAAATTTTATTCATGTGCATATCTTAAATGAAGAATAAAGTATAGTGGAGGAGTATATAGTATATACTGACAACCAATCTCCAAACAAGTTTCATTTCACTATAAAAACATATATAAATGCATAGAAGACATGGTTGGTTGCATGTTTCTAATCACATGATTCTTAACTTCTTTCAAAATGTGAATTTAACAATAAAGATATTTGCCACAAATTCTTAAATTTGCAATTGATAATATTTATCGCTAACATCTGCCCTTAACTAGAATTACTGACATCAAACAACACATATTTGTGTGCCACTCTATGACTATAGGGCATATAAATCACTTATAATGATAAATACACTTGACTGCTATAAATCTATTTTATTGTAGATCATATAATCCACGTTGATCACCATTAATTATTACATTATGTTATATATGGTTGAAGTAGTCAAAATTCTCCAAGAATTTGAATGTGCCTACAAACAAAGAGTTGATGTAATTGTAATACCACTAATCTTGAATGTGAATGTACCAAATTCAAATCTCTTAAACAGTAACTAAAAAATATACTTCTATCACTCTTATAAAAATGAAGTTGAATGCACCTAGCATGCAATTCCCGAGCTTTTTGCTATGTTGTATATCTTTAATAATGTAACGAAGCCGAAATCGTAGAGACACTTTTCCTTAAAACGAAATGCATGTGAAATAATCCAAGAGAAGACTCGTGTCGTATTAGGGCTTCATTCAATCCATGAGAAGAAAAGGGGAAAGGATCAAGTAACCTTATGGTGAGTAACTATGACTCTATGAGTAACCCGTCCACATCGGCATGACATTAGCATCCTTCTCTCTCCTGGAAAGCTTTTGATTTTCCCTCCTTAATCTTTGACGGACGATTTCTCACTCGTTTTAAGTCGAAATTTAATTTTTTTGCACAGTTAGATCATATTAAATGTGCTCTTCAAAATAATATCCACTTTGATATATTTTTGGGTTAATATTTTCGTATGGCCTGAACTTTGACCAAAATAAACATCTTGGCCAATCTTTTCGATCTATAACATCCTGGCCTGAACTATACACCAAAATAAACAATTTGGCCAAACCCGATGTTTGACCGTTAACTTGGACGGTCAAACGCGTTGACTAACGGCCAACTCGCCACGTCACTGCCTCGTCACTGCCAAGTCAGAAGATCTGACAAATATTTAATTTTTTTCGTTTTTTATTTTTGGTTTAACTAAGGTATTAGATGATTTTTCTAATTTATAATAATTTAAATTTAGGGAATGTGTGGAAATTGTGAATTATTTTAAATATTTTATGTTGACTTGGCAGTGACATGGCGCGTTGACTAACGGTCAACGCGTTTGACCGTCCAAGTTAACGGTCAAAAGTCGGATCTGGCCAAATTGTTTATTTTTGTGTATAGTTCGGGCCAGGATGTTATAGATCAAAAAGATTGGCCAGGATGTTTATTTTGGTCAAAGTTCAGGCCATATGAAAATATTAACCCTATATTTTTCGAACAAAAAAAATTGAGTCATTTTTTACCAGTCTATACCATATGGTATTGACTGACTGATATTGAAATAAGAGCATACCTATGGTTTGAAAAGCGTATCATGGTGGTATGAAGAAACCAAGAATGTAGGATGGTCGAATGCATGATAGTATAAGTATATTAACTGTCATTTACGACTATTAACATTGTATACCACAAGATACCACCCCGTACCAGAGTGGTATTGTGTGATATTTTTTGGTCCTGCAATTTTTTCACTCAGAAATTTGTACATCCAATAGATCATGATGAACTCGTTCCTTCTGTGCAAACGTTTCAAAAACGAATAAAAAATGAAGAAGATACCATATGATATGCAGTTGGTATCGAGAGGCAAAAAAAAAAATTTCTCAAAAAATATTGAAAATATGTCTCATTTTGTAGAACACAACGAACTCGTTCCATCTGTGCAAAAAAAATAAAATTAAATCTGAGTTAAAACGAAGAAGATATAAGTCTATTAAGAAAGTTAGAGAAAATAAAAATAGTCTTTAAATCTCCATCCTTAGATCTGGATTTTATAAATAAAAGGTCCAGATTTAATTATTGATGGCTGCATAACTATCTTTAGCCGAAGAAAAGACTGTCGTTTACTTCATGGTTTTAGGGAATTTGATTTTTATTTGTAATATAATTTTTATGTAATCAAATTCATGGTGTTCATAAAAAGGTCCATATTGTTAGATTAGATCCCACATATACATAAATTTCATCTATAGGTGTGGGATTAGGGATGTACGTAAAGCATGATGATCATTTATTTTTGTATTCTTATTAGAAAATAAAAATGCTTTAACTTAATGAGTTAATGGTAGTAAAATAATTTATATTTAATGGGAATACAAATGTTTTGGATCCGACTGTTGATTTGAAAGGGATCATTAACCTTTAACCATAACAATCAAGAATTCGTTATACGAGTCTATTTTTTTTTACCTCTTGCTAGATTTTTTTTTTTTGGTGCTTCCGCTTATCCTATTTGATTTTGTTTTGGACAAACTTATCCTATCTGATCCTCTCTCTTAGGCCTTAGCTGTATCTTGTACGTTTTCTGTCTTCCCAGGAAAGTGCCAAAAATATCATCAAACAAACCCCTGGCACTACAAAATAAACCACTTACAGCAGGGTCTTTTTTACATTTAGCGACGAAAAAACCATCGCTAAGGAACCCGACTTCGGTTGCTATAACCCCTGCAAAACCGTCGCAAGGACGACTGCCTGAAAATTACCACTGCGGTCAGCAAAATCGCTGGTGAATGTCTTAGCAGCCGTTTTAGCGACGGTTTAAATGGTCGCGATTGGTCTTCTTTAATGGTGTATTTTGCTGCCATTGGATGTGTTTTTGCGACGTTCTAAAACCCCTGCAAACCTATCTTTAACGACAAACTTAGCGACGATTCTTGAAATAGCAACGACAAGAATCTCATTGATTCATTTTTATTTTCAGAATTCCTCATAAATTTAAGGGTTAATATTTTCGTATGGCCTGAACTTTGACCAAAGTAAACATCCTGGCCAATCTTTTAGATCTATAACATTATGGCCCGAACTATACACCAAAGTAAACAATTTGGCCAAATCAGACTGTTGACCGTTAACTTCGACGGTCAAACGCGTTGACTAACGGTCAACGCGCCATGTCACCGCCAACTCAGCAAAAAAAAAAAAAAAAAAAAAATTAATTACCACCTAGCCCATTTAATTTCCACCTATTAGGTATTTTCTTAATTTGAAGACGAAAAAAAAAAAAAATCCCACAAAACGCAGCGGGTTTACCCTAACCCCTGCCCTAACCCCCATTCTTCATCTTCTTCGTCCTATCCTCTCCTCTCTTCCTCCAGCCGCCTACGATGTTGTTGAGAAGGAAAGATTAGCCCAGCGCCTCCGCCTCCGCCGCCGCCTCTGCCGCCGCCTCCGCCGAAGTCGCTGTCGCTGTCGCTGCCGAAGGGAGAAAGAAAGAGACATGTCGAGGAGATCTGCGAAAAACGCCGACGAAGGTTCCACTTCTTCCCGTTCGACGAACACAGGCACCATTCGTTGTAAAGTGCACAAAGCCCCTTGTGTGATCAATACATCTCGCACTAGCTTGAATCCTGGAAGAATGTTCTTCTCCTGTCCATATTGGAAGGTAGGTTGAAATCCACCTTTAAATCTTTGTTTCGACCAACTTGATCTCGATTCACCTCTTCCATTTCTGTAGGATGACAAAAAGAGTTGCCATTTTTTCCGATGGGTTGATGACGAGCCGGATAGTGACTCGAGGGTTGATGGATTGATGGAAGAGTATCATGAACTGAAATTGAAGCTTGCCGAACTGAATTCTGCAATTTGTCTCGAACTGCGAAAGATGAGACACACAGTTTATGGCCTTCAAAATAGGATGAATTTATGCTGTTTTTGTGTGCTATTCGTAGTCGTTGTTGTAATCGTGTGTGGACCACTTCGTATGTAATGGAGATTTCATGAGGAAGAGGAATGGTGTTTGTAGTGGAGATTGAATAAAGCGTTTCGTTTTAACCGAGTCAGTACATCAACCAAACTTGCAATCACCATCATTATAACATGTCATAGCAGTAGCATGTACAAAATAAGGATTAATCAACAGGATGTGCCATAAGTTGGGATTCTGAGTACCTAGCAAAAGAGTCACTAGATGCTTTTAACATGTCCTAGCATGTACAGCATGTACAAAATAAGGCAGAATCGTTGGTGTGGCATAAGTTTTGATTCTAACAACCTAGCAAAAGAGTGACTCGAAGCTTCCTGCGTGTCCTAGCATGTACAAAATAGGTTCCTACTACTCCACAAATAAAACATGTGCTAACATGTGCAACCATGTACAAAATTACAAAAGTCGTGGAGTTTCCTACAACCTAATCTACCAACATTCTTCTAGTTTCCTAAGGCGTCTCTGGCTGAGTAGCAGGCGGCTGTGTAGCACCTACTGCAGGCACATCTGGTGCAGTAGCTTGCACATGTCCACCAGCCCCTTGAACCCTCGTACTCATCTGCCAAAAACAACGAATTAGCATCTTACTAACTTAAAACATTAGATGTATGTTAATAGACAAACAATTAACCTTACCCTAGCATACATGTTGCCTGTCGCCTCATCAATATAAGTTCCAATTCCGCGCATTGCCATCCTCATTTCCCTATCTGTTACATGCCTACTGGATGATCCAACATGAGGAGCCTACATAAAGCCAAACATTCCATGAAAACCTACATTCCCTAAACATTCACAGGTTCACACTACATTCAATCACCATAATTGATGCGAATCATACACCATTCACTCACTTGAATACCAACATTCATAGGACATCTTCTTACGTTATGAAACTCTGATCCACACTTTGAGCAGCTATTCTTCTTCCTTCGCTTGGGCTGAATTTATACGAATCAACATTAATGAAATGAAAACATGACTGTCAAGGAAAAAACTTGTGTAGCGATTAAGTAAAAAATGCAATTACCTCGTTGGTGGTGTTTTGGTCAGCAGCTTGTGTCCTAGGTGCATTTCCTTGTGTCCTAGGTGCTCTTGACTTCTTTGGAGGTTCTGGTGGCTTCCTTGGATTCTTGCAGGTCCTTTTGTTGTGACCATCCTTTCCACAGTTGGTGCAAGTGATCACAAGGCTATGTCGAGTAGCAATTTCCCCATTTCCATCCCTAGAAGGTTTCCTAGTTACCTCCCACGTCTCCCTCTTCCGCTTAGTTTTTGGACGTCCAGGCATCCGACGAATTCGTGGTGGATACACCTTGTATCCTTCCACTGGAAGCCATGCTTGTCGACCCTCTGATGGTGGGATAGGGTACATGTAGGCACATTTTACTCGATTCAGCGAGAAATACTCATCCACAAAATCCTCCGGATGCCCTCGCAAGTAAGTTATGGAAGCAAAGGCATGGCAGCAAGGTATTCCATTCAGCAACCAGAAACCACATGAACAGCTACCATTCTTGATATTAACCACAAATCCTTTGTCCCCTATGGTTACCTCATGCTTATCTTCTGTAGAAGGGCGGCTGGTGCACATTCGAGCCAAATGCTTTGCCTTTTCTAGTTTTCCCCTAGCCACTGGTGGAAATTTATCCCTCCAACGCTCCATCATTCTTCTGTTCTTGACAATTCGTGTCATTACAGCCACTCGGATACCCTCCAACATTGCAATTGGTCTCAATGACCTAAACCGCAAGATCCAGTTGTTGAAAGACTCACAAATATTGCTTTCTACTGAGTCACTCTTGGAAAATGTCTGCATGAAACATCTACAGAACCTTGCTGGTTCCATGGCCATGAAGTCTGTATCAGCACCCTCTCCAAGTTCCTTCAATTTATCAACAGCAGCCCTCCAGTCAGGTTCATTTAATGAATAAACCGCTTCCCAGTATAGATCAGAAGCTATGGCACTCTTGTGTTTTTCTCTGAAGTGCGCGTGGACATGACGAGCACACTTTCGATGTTCTGCATGAGGCATACAGTCATTTAGCGCTTCCACCAGCCCCTGCAATCACCACAAGTAAACACATAAACACAATTGCATAATTATAACAAATCAATCCTCATTTAACCAAAAACAGAATGCATACCTTCTGTTGGTCAGAGACTACTGTCCAACCGCCACCATCCTCGATCCGAAGAATGTCTTGCAATGCTTTAATGAACCAGGTCCAGGAATTTTTGTTCTCCGATTCAACGATTGCCCACGCTATTGGGAACATATGATTGTTACCGTCTTTTCCAACTGCCGACAGTAACATCCCTTGTACTTCCCCTTTCAAGAAACAACCATCCAAACAAAAGAATGGCCTGCACCCTTTCAAGAACCCCTTTGCCAAACTAGAGAAACCAATGAACAAACGCTTGAAATATACCTTCTCCGAGTTAGGTACAGAATCAACCTCCAGCAGAAATGACCCTCTCTTGTCAACTCTCAGCAAATGGCCAATATAGTCTCTAATCTTGTGGAAATCCTCAGTAAGCGAACCATAAAGCAGTCTTCGAGCCTCGAGCCGTGCCTTATAACATGTTTGGTTAGAGACGTAGATATTGTGTTTGGTCTTCAATTCAGCTGCTATTAAGTTAACATTCCATGCTTGATTAACACGGAAAACATCCAGGTACTCAGATGCAATCCACTTATAACCCGCAGCACGAATCCGAATTGCTCGAGGGCAAATATGATCTGGCCCAGAATATTTAACCATGAATGCTTCTTTTCCACGAAACCAACTACCATAAACCTTCCACATGCAACCATACTCTTCCCTTTGTGCACACACAGCTTCCTTCCTCGTCGAACTGCTCCTAACCCATCTAATATCAGCTCCCATTTTAATTGCATTCTTCATAACAGCAGCTTTAAATTGATTACCATCTAAAAACCGCATATGGGTTTTGAACTTCAAAGTGTTATGATCACACTTGGGATCATAACACAAGCTCTTGTCGTAGCTTGTAGCACCATCTTCTTCAGCAATGTTCCCTCTAACATGGGCAGAATCCTCAGAGGCCCTATACTCCGTATCAATTGATCCTTCGGCATTGATCTCCTCGTCCACGTTGACTTGTTCTGCACCCCTTTGAATACCCTCATCAATCTCGACACTCTCATCAAATTCCACACTCTCATCAAGCTCTACAGAGTCTGTTTCAGCTTCCGCTTCAGCTCCACCCTCAATAGTAGCACTATCCAAATCAAAGTCAGCATGATGGTTGACATCCCACGCAAACAATTGATTCACTGAACTACCTTCACCATCAAGATCTGCTACCATTCTTCTATTCCTTCTCCTAGCTTCAGCTCTTATCTCATGGTATTCCTCGTCGGATGTCTGAGCATCATCATCCTCTAGCCGAACAAACTCAGGTGCTGCTGAATTGTCGCCAGATGCATCTTCCCCTTCAGGAAAATGGCCATAATTATCTCCCATATAACCCAGCTCTCCGAGATCCCTTGTTGCCTCAAAGTACACCTTTATATCTCCAGTTCCAACCAAAGGCAGCAACCCAGTTAAAACCTCCACATCCGACACAATTTCATGCAATCCTGTCGCCATACTTTCCCCAGGTGTCAAGTACCATAGCCTCTCGACGGAAATATTTTCCAAATCTTCAATCAAAGTCTTCGTCAATTCGAAGTAGGACAGGACATCACGATTCACATTGACGACATCGACAACCCCCCCAACGTACTGTGGAACACCCCCCGACATATTCATCGCGCCTCCATGATGCAGAATAAGCTCAACCATATCGTCCATTCTAGCAAAGACAAAAAAAATGATACGAGATTAGTTTAATCTCAGTTTCCATTACTTTAATCTCAGTTTTCATTAGTTTAATCGCAGTTTCCATTACTTTAATCTCAGTTTCCATTACTTTAATCTCAGTTTACTAGAAAACCCTAATCCTTGGATTTTAGCGAGGATTAAAAAAGAATGGAAATGGAGAGAAGAAAGGGATCGATTGCTTACGTTGCTGGTGGGGAATGCGATCTGTTGGCTGTGGTCCCTTTGAAATGTGGACCCGTCGTCGTCCTTTTCACCAGGTCGTTATCGATGCACAGAGAGAAGAAAGAAATCGCGAGAAATCGCGAGGGATCAGAAATCGCGAAGGAGGAGGGGGGAAATCTGGGCGAAGGTAGAAGGGAGAAGGGTGAGATCGATGGCGGCGGCGGCGGGCTCAGAAGAACGCCCGCCGCTGCATTTTTCAGTCGGTGAGGTGATTCGACGATGAAGGAAGGAGAAGGTGAGGTGAGGTGAGGTGAGGTCGGCGGGTGATTTCTGTGGATGGAGATGGGAACGATATGGATAAGGTAGGGTTAGGGTAAACCCGCTGCGTTTTGTGGGATTTTTTTTTTTTCGTCTTCAAATTAAGAAAATACCTAATAGGTGGAAATTAAATGGGCTAGGTGGTAATTAAATTTTTTTTTTTTTTGCTGAGTTGGCGGTGACATGGCGCGTTGACCGTTAGTCAACGCGTTTGACCGTCGAAGTTAACGGTCAACAGTCTGATTTGGCCAAATTGTTTACTTTGGTGTATAGTTCGGGCCATAATGTTATAGATCTAAAAGATTGGCCAGGATGTTTACTTTGGTCAAAGTTCAGGCCATACGAAAATATTAACCCTAAATTTAACCGCTGCCACCTGCTGTTGCATTTCAATGTTCCCATAAATTTATATCTACACTCTTAAAGATACATTACCCATTATCCATGGCATAAATTACTTATTTCACTAAACTCACAGCAAAAAATTCTCCAAAGTAAATCGAAAAAATAATTTCAAACTTGAATAAAGGTGAATTTCAAGCAAGATCGGCAACATCAAACTTTTGCTTTCTTATGAATCATTGACATAATGTAATGCACTGCTTTCTTCTGAACGTCATCTTAACCTGTTATAAATCCATCAAAAACACATGACAACTCATCTCATTAATATAAGAAAGAAGAGGAAGAAACACAGAACAAGAAAAAAATATTCGAGGCAACCAAAAACAACTCCTGAAACACAGAAGGCAAAGAGAAAAATATATTACAATATTACGAAAATAGACAATGATTGTACGATTGGAGTATGGAACTATGGTGATATAAAATATACAGTAATATAGATGCTATATATGCCATACTAATATATATTGTACTAAAAAGGCTTTTATGAAATTTATGGAAAATTGATATAATTTTGTAAATCTCAATCAAATTTTTTCTATGTAACCTTTTCCTTTAAAATCTAAGTAAATATGAAGAATACAAAACTTAATAAAAAAATTCAGTTCAATCAAAGGGTTAAAAAACTATATCGTACTGGCAGTTCGACCCGAAAAACCTCCTACCGGAAGAGAAACTGGTTGATGGTATTTAGCAGTATGAAATGGTTTAACAAAGATTACACAATAATTTCAGCATAAAATATGCTACCGCTGACTTTTTCGATACAACTTCCAATATGATTTTTCAATATTGGATTCAACCATTCCATTCAACTCTCAATAGTTCAAACATTCAAATCAAATGAAAAATATTCACATGTCCAATAAATGGCGTCGGTTAATTACCATTAGCAACTGTCGTGAATTAAAATGGACAACCAGGGTAGCAGCCAAATATTACCCTTTTTTATGTAATCCCAAAATCCGCAGGGTTCTTTTAACCGCTGGATATAATCGCTGTGTATGCAGACGTCATTTGTGCGACAAGGGCTATGGGATAGCTGCCATAAGTTTGTTTCCATGTAGCGTGAGTGCTGACCGGAAAAAAATGAGAGAGAAAAAAGCCTCTGTAAACCTTTTAAGGGTAGTAAGGGAATGGCTTTCTTCTGACTCCTTTTTTTTTGCATACATTTTAGTGTAACAACCAAGTGGTCCATGAACATTGCCATGACAGAAATACAAATAAAATGCCAAAAAAAAATATAATATGACAAACGAAATTAAAAATAACAATTATGAATTACTTTGCAAGGTTTCATTAACTACCGCCACCTCCAAATTAAATCCAACAAGAGCCCACCGGGCACCCTACCATCAAACAGGTTACAACATTAATCCCAAATCATTCATTATATTCTTTCTAGGCCATTAATATGCAAGAGTTACAACAAGGCCTTCAATGCATGATAATGTTTGTATTGCACGTATATATAGTACCTTGTCTTTTATGTGTTATTACCACTATTTTATAATTAAACTCACATGCAATGCAATGCACCCTTTAAAATATTGACATTGATCAACGAAAACGTGACACAAACATGAAACAACCGTGCGTGCATGCGATAGAAAACACAATCGCGAGTGAGCAACCTATGTATGTATAGATGCAAAAGAAATCATATACTACGTAGGGGAGCGAGCGAGCTATAGGAAACCAAATGATCATCATCCAAACTTAATCCACCAGCAAAACGTAGGCATACCATCATCCAAACTTAACCGTACTAGAAGCAAAGCAAATTTAAAGCAACTTGATCCATCCTTGTTCAGTATTTCCCAATCGATGCGACATGACCAACTGAAAGAAATTCAACGGAAAGTATCTTGTAGCAAGCTAAGCTAGCGAAACTAATTACAGGATAGAGCGAGCAAGCAAACAAGTCTTGATTCATCATCCGTCGCCATCATAACATCCACCTCGAACGCCCAGCCGATCCCCTACGTACAAGCAAAAAACAGGGACCTGCCTCCTTACTCAGCCTCGTCTGCAAACAACAGCAGGGCAAAGACAAATCAAATCAAGACTAGCTATAGCTATAGCCGAACCCCATCTTCGATTCTTGTAATAAACAACAACAATGCAAGCGAGCCATTAATGGAAAGTTAATCTCCGACTAGACTAGATTAGACTAGACTATTGGCATGCAATAATCGATTAATCACCAACCCCTAGCGTAGCTTATGCACACACACATACATACAGGTGGATTCGTCTATACTTATTTGCTACTCCATTGAATGGAACCCTAAACGGCAGGCATGCAACACCTGCAGCAATAGCCCTAAGTCTGGATTCTTCCAGTACATCAGGGATGCCTGGAACTCGTTGACTGTCTCCGACTTGAGCGTCGGGGTTGGTGCGGCTGGGGTAAACACGTTTGTCGACATGTTGAACTACGACAGTGTCTCCAAATCTCCTTGGCTGGTAGGCCCTTACGGACCAACCTCTAAGCTGATGGGGTCCGTGATGAATTTCGTGTTTGGATCGGTGTTCGCGTACAGTACACCATGGAGGAGAATACCATTCCCTCCTCTGGCTCCTTTTGTGCTTGTCTGCGTGGTTTTTCTGCTTCTGTAGGGTGGTCAAGCCCAAGTGTGATCAGTACAACATTCAGGATGGGCTGCTGGGGTTAACCATGGGAAAAGTGGCGACCATACCGGGCCACGAGGGTATCCGAGTCGATGTGTTCCTCATCTACCTCATCTTGGGAGTTGCGAGGCCGTTCATGGAATCGTTTGAAGATGGATATCGTGGCTAGAGTTAAGAGGTAATTAATCCCCAACTTCCTCGTTCCAGTAATTAATTTTCTTACATTCAAATCTGATCAGTTGGGAACTGTACGTATATTTTGGAGCACTGATTTGCTATTTAAGTTTTGAGTAGTTTTGGTTCAATACGATTGATTCACCAAAAAGGAAATATCGAGTTCCTCAATTAATAAGTCAACAACTACTCAAAACTTAAATAGCAAATCAGTGCTCCAAAATATACGTACAGTTCCCAACTGATCAGATCTGAATGTAAGAAAATTAATTACTGGAATGAGGAAGTTGGGGATTAATTACCTTTTAATTCTAGCCACGATATCCATCTTCAAACGATTCCATGAACGGCCTCGCAACTCCCAAGATGAGGCAGATGAGGAACACAGCGACTCGGATACCCTCGTGGCCCGGTATGGTCGCCACTTTTCCCATGGTTAACCCCAGCAGCCCATCCAGAATGTTGTACTCACACTTGGGCTTGACCACCCTACAGAAGCAGAAAAACCACGCAGACAAGCACAAAAGGAACCAGAGGAGGGGAATGGTATTCTCCTCCACCGATCCAAACATGAAATTCATCACGGACCCCATCAGCTTAGAGGTTGGTCCGTAAGGGCCTACCAGCCAAGGAGATTTGGAGACACTGTCGTAGTTCAACATGCCGACAAAAACGTTTACCCCAGCCGCACCAACCCCGACGCTCAAGTCGGAGACAGTCAACGAGTTCCAGGCATCCCTGATGTACTGGAAGAATCCAGACTTAGGGCTATTGCTGCAGGTGTTGCCCGCCGGTGGAGATGGAGGGTTGCTGCTGCTGGTGTTGTCCGCCGGAGTAGGTGGAGGAGCTGCGGTGTTCCCTTGACGACCGTAGTCCGTCTGCGCGTAAATGACGCCCGCCATTAAGGAGGTAAGAGCGGCTAGAACAGTAAACGCTGCTGTGTAGCGTCGAAGAGTCAGCTTTCGATCTCCCTTCGGTTGTGGTGGTGGAAGGACCCGAGGAAGAGGAACCTCGGCAGCCATTGATATGGGTGGGAAGGTGTGGAGAGAGCTCAGATTTACTTTGCAATTTGGTGGTAGGCGGCACGGGTAGGGTTTGGGGAGAGACTGGAGTGGAGTGGCGTGGCTTGGCTTTATATGATCGGTACTCCCGAGTCCCGACAAAAAATAGGTGGTAAATTCCGTTTACGTGTTATCGGGGCAGAGGTAAATATTTTTTCTCTGAATTCGTTTACTTGGCGTGAATGGGGGAATTTGAAAACAAAACAAAAAATATATATATATATATATTCTCACACCTAGCCTTGCGTGTTTAGTATGTGTAACAGTTAATGCATATGGGAGCGAGCTTTAAACATATTTGGCATCTAAATGCAAGGATTGCGAAACCATACGTATTGGATGTAGGTTGTATTAGAAAAATCAGTGGTAGGATAGTTTGTGTTGAAATCACGATTTGATCATAATTTAATCATTTCAAATCATGCCGTCAAAATCTTCTATCAATTTAGATTCTAATATATATGAGGTTTTTTCGTCTGGACCGCAGATACAATACGATTTCACAAACACCGTCCATATATGTATACATGCACTAAACAAATTTGTGCTAACTCGCTAGGAGCCTACCATGCACTTAAAAAAAAGACGCTAGGAGCCTAGGACAATTATAATGCAAAATAATAATAATAATAATAATAATAATAATAATAATAATAATAATAATAATAGATCACCGTATCCACCTCCCGGGGTTACTGTAGGCACGTGAAGCTATCTTCCTCTTTAATAATCTTAATTATTTCTCCAAACAGAGTACCCAATCAATCCTATTCCTACCCAAGCTCATCCGCCTTCTAGAGAGAGACTTGACTAGGATTTGGGAAATATTTCAAATCAATCAATCAATCATCAATCAATCAATAGAATAATTAATGGTGGAGTTTTACAAACTTTTCACCATTCAAAAAATGGAGCTCTCCCCTTAATTTTCGCCAGAGGTAATATGGTCCATTCGTCCCTTTATTTTTGTTTCTTCCCGCCGAAAAGCACAGGTTTTAGCCAAAACCAATTTGGCGGTTCCATACCTCAAGCCTCTATTAAGCCCGGCCATAAAGCCCAGCAGGCTTTTCTTAAAATTGGGCTCATGTTCTAACCCCACCGAGAAAGCCAAGCAGGTTTCTATGAAGAATCAAAAGACCCCTTTCTATTTTTTTACTACCCATGATTAAAATCGTCGTTGTCCAATTACAAAGCTCATCTAAATTGCTTGGTGAAAATCGTTAAAGAAAAACTATGCCACTTTCCCCAAGAGAGATAGAAATTATAGGGAATCGAAAGTAAAACACTTTCATCGGGAGTTTGTGATTAGTCGACTACTTCAGATGGTTTAGTTATGTTTTTTAATTTATATCCGGACTTTCATTTGGTCTTGACTATGTTAAAAAAATTGAAAATAAATATAAGTAATTTTTATGTGAACACATACTTTTTATTCCCCGAATGTCATTTTATGTCTACTCCTCTCACAACAAAAATTATATTTTGTTGTTTGGGGTTTTGTGGAAAGTTAGTAACTTTTTATGGATGCTAATGAAAAATTAAATTTCGAAAAGAAAAGTAATATTGTGGGATTGTTTTCATGAAAGGGGTTAGTGGACTGGTTAGAAACTCAACCCGTTTTTTTTTTTTTACAAAAAATAATTTGATATTAATAGATAGTTACATCCTGGAGTTCAGCCAGGTCTGAAAATCAAAGAAACGACTCATAGTCGGGTACAACGAAAGGGCTTTTCGAGCCACCAAATGGGCTACCCTATTACTACGCCGACCTACAAATCGAACACTAAGCCCAGGATTGTCATTAAAATATTGCAGAAGTTCCTCCAGCACAGCTCCAACTCGGTTATCCTTGGCATCCGCCTGATTGATTTTATCAATAATAACCTTGGCATCGCCTTCAAACCTAACATCTGAGAGGCCAAGCGACAAGCACCACAGAGCAGCTTCCCGGAGGGCAATTAATTCCACCACCAAAGGGTCATCCATGCCGGGAAATTGAACTCCTTTTACCAGCCAAACAGCTCTCGCTGGAGTCAAAAGAACCATCCCACCGGCCGCATGAGACCCCCTTTTCACCGCCCCATCCCACATGCACACAACCCTGCCCTCCCCCTCACCACGTCGTGGAGAAACCCCGGTAGAATCAACCGTCACGGGTACAGCCCTGGGATTCCTATCCATCGGCAACCCGCTTTCTGAACATAGGTTTGTTGTCAAATCATATTACTACTTTCTAAGTTGTATCATCAGTAACCCTAATTTTATCATTTACTTTTAAGTTTTGACAATTCTTTTAATTGAATTGTTAGTATATAATTGACTTGAATCAACAACTCTTCATTTTTTTTATTAGTGGATATTGTTCTTAAAAGGAGAGCATTGAACCCTTTATGTAGGATCGTGATGTTTCAGATTCAATTTCAAACTATCTATGGGTCATGTGAGAAATTCCAGTGAGTTTTTATAGTCTATCTTTCTTGACAATCAACTAACCAATTCTTTTAATTGAATTGTTAGTATATAGTTGACTTGAATCAACAACTCTTCATTTTTTTTTATTAGTGCATATTGTTCTTAAAAGAAGAGCATTGGACCCTTTATGTAGGATTGTGATGTTTCAGATTCAGTTTCAAACTATCTATGGGTCGTGTGAGAAATTCCAGTGAGTTTTTATAGTCTATCTTTCTTGACAATCAACTAATGTGAAGTACTTGGCATTCTTCGTCACCTATATATCTTTAGTATATTTTATTTATACACTTCGAGAAGCGAATCGGGTTGCTAATTCTGCGGCACAAAATGTCCTACGCTATTCTGACATTAGCAATGTATTATGTTTGTGCCATAATACACGCTGATACTCCTGAAGCTTCACTTCGCCTGGCGCCTGCCTACACACACACACAAAGAGGAGGGCGCCTGGGCCCGTTAATCCTCCGACGCCCAAGTCAGTTCCTTAGAGAGGGAAGTGTCCCGAAGTAGGAATGTTAGCGAGAGAGTCCAACCTCCGTAAATGCTACCAACTGCCCCTATTTATACTCACCGAACTCGAGGTTGATCTCCTCCACGTCACTGTCCCAATTTAATGCTTTGTGCCCTCTTTGTCAGACATCTAACTGCCTTGTCAGGCTTCTGACGCGCGACAGGCGCCCGCAGGCAATGGACCACCCGACAGCTTGTCTCCCATTGACTTTTAGTGTTTTGTCCTTTTGTGCCCTTCCTTTTGCTTGGGCCTAGAGGTATTTAGTGGAACCATTTTTGGGCCTTGCCCCCCAATTCTACTGTTTGTGCGATTATTTACTACATCTGATCGGGGATGGAGATTGGGTGCTCCGAATGAGGATCGTTAATCTTTTTTCTTTTTTTGCTGGTTACGTCTACCTGTACACGCTGGGATGCGGTGGACGCGCGAGAAAGTTCGCGTCGACAGCGAGCGTGCTGCTGCCGAGACAAAGAAGAAACAAGTCGATGCTATGCTACTTGTTCATTACAACGCTCTGCAACTCACGAGAAGGGGAAAGAAAAATTGGTCCTTTTGATGCTTATGATCATGTTTGTCACTCTTTTCAACTTTTTTTTTTCTTCTTCCCAGGTTGTGTTGTATTAGGAAATACACTCTATAGTAGATTCTCATGTATGATTTTCTATCTTATATGAGAAGAAGATGTACCATTACTATATATACGTTAGGATGCACACGAGAATATAATGTGGCATATATAAGACGTTACGAAAGTAGCTAGGGAAGAGTATTAATTAATTAAGATATTAGTAAACAGGTTAATCGGCCCAAATCTAACTAGTCATATCAGGTGTTTTGTTGATGAGGGCCAACATGCATGCAACATTAGTCATCCATCAATATATAGTCTCCTAATATATTTCTTTTTCTTAAAAAAGTCTATTCCTTGGGGGCTTCAGCATAGTTTTTCCTTGTTGTTTTTTCCTAGAAGAAAGCCATAATGATCTAATGCAGGTGAGCTTCTTTGTTGACATTTTTGACTCGGGCTAGCTAGCTAGCTTTTGAACTAATCAGAGGGACAGATAGATAGATGTTGTAGTTGAGCTACCAACAAGCTAGCTAGTACACATATTTCTGCACTCCACGTCTCCACCCAACTTAGACTTTGTCCTTCCTTATATATCTGCGTACATCTCCATTAGCTGCTTCAATTCAAATGCCCCCTATAAATTGCCTCTTCCATCAAGCCAAAGCCAAAGCAAAACCCCACACCTCTCTCACTTCATTCCAACACCACCACCTTTTCTGCTTCAACACGTACAGCTTCTATATTTTTCAGGGTTGAAATTAAAGGAGTACTGTGATTGATCAAAACCCGGCAGGCACCGCAACATATATATATATGGCTTCTCACAGGAGAACATGTGTCGTTCCCATGTTGCTGCTGCTCTTCGCTATCGTCTTTGTCGATGTCCCATGCAGTGGAGTAGCTGCTGCTGCGTCTCGCCGCATGCTGGAGATGCCGGAGCTTCCCAAGCCTGAGCTACTGCCTCCTGTACCTAAACTCGAGCTTCCACCTCTCCCCAAGCCAGAGCTTCCCCGTTTCCCTGATCTCCCCAAACCGGAACTGCCTCCTCTCCCCAAACCTGAGGTTCCAGAATTGCCCAAACCCGAAATCCCCAAGCCTGTAGTTCCAGAATTGCCAAAACCTGACCTCCCAAAGCCTATAGTTCCTCAAATGCCCAAACCTGAACTTCCTAAGCCTCAAATTCCAGAATTGCCAAAACCTCACCTCCCTAAGCCAGTTGTTCCAGAATTTCCCAAGCTTGAAACTCCAGAGCTGCCAAAGCCCCAAGTTCCAGCACTGCCAAAACCTGAAATTCCTAAGCCCCAAGTTCCAGAGCTTCCAAAACCTGAAATCCCTAAGCCTCAAGTTCCTGAATTGCCAAAGCCTGATATTCCAAAACCCCAAGTTCCAGAATTTCCGAAACCCGAGGTCCCAGCTTTCCCAAAACCTCAAGTGCCACAGCTGCCTAAAGTGCCAGAGATTCCAAAACCTGAATTCCCAAAAGTACCAGAATTGCCCCATCTCCCTGACCTCCCCAAACCCATTGCTCCTTGAATCTTTCCCGACTTGGTCATATACTAGCTACTTCTTCTCTGCCTCCTCAAGGTGGTGGCCATGGCTGCTGCATCTACTAGCGGTTTATCATACCATCATTATTCGCATGGGTTTCATTATTAGCATATTAATTCATGTAACACCATATGTTTGTTTGTTTGGTTGGTTTCTTTTCTATTTCTGTTTTTTTTTAAATGATTTAGTACTCATTTATATTTGTGTTATTATCGTACTTCATCATGTCTCTGATATGATTTATATATATATATATATATATATATATATATATTGAGATGAACAGTATTCTATTTTTATTTATGATTTTCTGGTCAATTTAGTCAGTTCATTAAGATTCATCGTCAGAGTTGTCATGCTAGTTCTGTCAATTAACCAATAAAATTATAGCCATATCGAAAGTGTTTTTTGGTATAATTTAATCGGGTCTGATTTCAATTAAAATCAAACTATATTATAATTGGTGCCACTCAATTTAACCTTGTCTGATTTCAATTTATTTCTTTTTTCTGTAAAGAGTCTTGTACTTTCAAATTACATTAATTGCAATGAGTCAATTAATTGCAATGAGTCAATGACAAATATGTTTTGGTAATTTGATTATTAGTTAAGTTAATTAAAAATCACTTTTAGAATTGGGTGAATAACTCACAAGAAATGTTTATTGCTAATAATTCGAGTATTTGTTGGACATGAGATTGCTTGTTTTTTCACTAATAAAAAGACATATATATATATATATATATATATATATATATATATCTTAGTTATGTAGCATTAAGCATTGACTATTTCATCTACTTTTGTCTTTCAATCAATAACAACATCCGATAAGAAAAGAATGAGTAGCTCATCAAAGAAGCAACGGAACCAACAAAGATATATTTAAAACCTTGTAGTGCGTTTCATGATAACAACATAACCGTTCTTGCGAATGGTATTAACTCACAATGGGTAGGTCTGGGTGCTCCCGCATCGGCCTTGGATTCGAACTGACCTTCCTCGATCCTCTTCCTCTCTCTCTCTCCCCTCACTCTCCAATACATCGAATAAGAAGAGAGAATATGGTGAAGAATACACCAACTAGTCTGAGCGTTTAGTCCACCAAAAAAACCGACAAGTGGTTTCGCTTGTCTTGTTTTCATTGGATCTTATTTCCTCATGTTTCACCCAACTCGTTTCTTAAAACCCTGTGAGGAGGAAGATCGAGTTGAAAGTAGTTCGACCAATGAGGTTGCAACAAACTAACAATTTCTGAAAGTTTGAAATTCAATTTATTAAGGTTTATGTTGGTTATAATCAGAGTCACCCACGGCTTGTTTGATGTGGAGATAAGTGACATAGACTGAAGCAAATCCAAATCTCACGTTGGTTGAACATCGAAGCTTCTTGTGTTGTGCTCGTTATGACTAACTATACATACCATGACATGTACATGTCTAAACTTGAAATCAATGAGAAGATCAACGATATATACTAACAACCAATCACAATAAACAAATTTCCACACATATATATATAAATATATGTAGAAGACATGGTTGGTTGCATGTTTCTAATCTTATAATTCACATTGATCACCAAAATTACATTATGTTATATATTGTTGGAATTAGTCCATATTCTCCAAGAGTTAGAACTTAGAATGTTCCTATTATGCATGCATAGCGCATATTCTTTGCAATGTGGTATCTTGAATCTCTTCTCTTACATAAACTACAAGACTCGCGTGAAGGCTCAAATGAACAGAAAGCTTCGCGCAAATTGTCCTTTTTTTCTGGTGAAAAACCTTTTAAAGTGACAACTAATTACTTGCAAACACAGTAGTTTCTGATGACAAAGATGGTCTGAAACTAACATCTTTTGGAAGGAACAACTGATGGGTTGTCATACGAAACTACTCAGAGTGACCCATCATCAGAATAACAGTAGTGTCTGATGTAAAAAAAACCACAGGATAAAGCTAGGACGAGCAAGCAACAATTAACTAACCAAGCCACACAAAGAGCAAGTCTCTCTAGCTCCCATCTGCCTAATCGACTTCAAGTCCTCAGCACGCTAATCAACTACAAGTTGTCGGCGCTTGTAACGCACCATCACGCTTCCTTTAACACCCACAACCATTGCATTCCAGTCGATTTCTGGGAAGGGAGAAACAAGCTCCAGCTCGAAGTTCCTCAGCAGATGGCTCCATATGGCCTTTATCTGCAAGTATGCAAAGGGCTCCCCGAGGCAGCCATGCCTACCCCCACCAAAAGATATGTAGGAGAAAGCCCCTGCCGCCTTATCCTCTTCCCTTCCGGGAGCAAACCTGTCAGGATCGTACTTATCTGGCTCGGTGAAGATGTGTGGAAGCCGGTTAGCAAACGCAGGAGAAGTCGCCACGATGTGCCCCTTAGGGATGTCATACTCCTTCCCTTCTTGTGTGGTCACGCTGAAATCGCTGTGTGATTGGCGCATCAACATTATCAATGGAGGGTGCAACCTCAGAGCTTCCTTGATGCACCTGTACAGCACATCCATTTCAGACAGTACGTCATGATCCACTCTGTTACCGTGCTTCCTCAGCAGCTGCTTCTGCTCCTCCACAACGCTAGAAAGATACTCCTCCTTGTGACGTAGGAGGTAGGCCCCGGTCCAAGTGGATGTGATAGAGCTAGTGTGCTGCCCGGCGAAAAGAGCCGCAATGAGCAAGCCTGTGACCTCGCCTTCAGTTGTCGGGCGACCATCTTTGTACTTGGAGTCGATAAAGCATTGCAGCATGTCGTTCTCCGAGCTACCAGTTTTCTTCCGTGAATTGATAATGCTGGCGAAGATCTGGGCGAGCTTCTTGCGAGCAAGGTCACGGCGTCGGTGAGCTGGGATGGGGAGGTATGGGAATAGGACACTGATTGGAAGCATCCCATTGTCGAGATCGTGGAATAGTGCAGAGACATCATCAAAGAGCTTATCACGGACTTCTCGGCCAAGTAGGCACCTGCTTGCTGTCAGGATGATAAGATGCTCAAGCTCGTATTTCAAATCCACCTCTCCGCAGTCTCCCCACTTGGAGAAGTAATCCTGCATTGTTTGACGATATGACAAAAATCAGACTACACAGTAGGAGTAGAAAGACTATAAAAAGTGGTTTCTATATGTAATATTGTGTTTGTTCATAAGCCAAAATATACTTGTATATGAAATTGTACAGGAATAAATGACATTATAGATCCACGTTCCTGTTTCCTGTACCATATGTTTGAATACTTCATACCTCCGGGTATTCAAGATTGCAACATTTCGATGGCTTCGAGATTGCATGACCGATTTCAAATGTACTCAAGCACAAAGGTATTAACAAAAAACGATCTATTCATTCAATTGAATACTACTGTCAATATTGTTCTCACATGTACCCCCACCCAAACCACTTGTAAAAAAGAGATCATGTTGGTCCAAGCAAAGTCACTTCTCATACTGGATTCTAACAAGAAATTGCAACAGTGGCAAATGGCAGCAATTGCATCCAGGATGAAGGGTTTCAAGAAAGTTCTGACCTGGGCTTCTGTAACCATCATATCAACATAGCCCTTGAGCTTGTTGACACGAAGGGACTCGGTGAAGAAGCGGAACTGCTCCTGGCGGACGGAGTAATCGACGTCGAAGACAACACCAGGGCCAAAAGTCGGGACATTGAACTGGTAGACCTCCTGCTGGCTGAGGTCAGCTTCAGGGGCCTTGAAGAAGTGGGCAGAGACCTCCGGGCCAATGAGGAAGGTGATGTTCCTGTTGACAAGATTCAAGGTGAAGACGCTTCCCAGCTTGGGGTACTCCTCCCTCAGCATCACAATGGGACCCTTTAGGAACCTCAACAGCCCACCAACCACTGGTATCCCCTGCTTCACCCTTGGGGGTAGCCTCCGCTTCCCAGATCGGCTCATGAACAATGCAGACACCACTTTGGCCAGCAGCACAGTTGCCACGATCAGGAGCCCCACGTTCACCAGCTTGGGGCTGAGTTTATTGTTTTCCGGATCCCAATCCATGGCTACGTTCGAGCTACCTACGCAGTACGCACCACTGACATGCAAATCGAAGTATGAGTGAGCTAAATGAGGGACACCAGCTTACACAAACAAATCTAGAAGGATAATTCGAAGGGGGGAAACCAAAAACACATCCAAACTCAGCGGATACAAGTGCAGATGCAGTAGAAGAAACGATCTCGAACTACATAGAAACCAATGCAGTAAAAAGATCTGATATTTGCATACAGGCTGGCAATACAAGTCTTAGTGAACAACATAAGCTAGAAGAGGACAGACGCATTTAAGGGATCCACTGATTGCTAGCATTCAGCAACTGATTGAAGGGAACCCACAAATTACTGTCCACCAATCAAACAATCCACTCACGCCACGCACCATACTAATCAGCCATTAGTTCAAGCCCGGAAGTTTGAATCTTTTACCTCGGCAGCGGGAGCCAGTAGACCGGCGAGATGAGAAGAGCGGGAAGCCGGATGGGGGAAACGGCGGGGACGCGGCTACCGACGGATTTGCAATCAGCACCGAGAACACCAATGGACGATTAAAGGCGTCCACAGCGACATCAACGAGGAGATTAGTGGAGTGACCGAACAACTGGCAGATCTCAGATTCCCCTTTACGACTCCACACTGATCCTCTACTTGTACTAGTGTTGGACCCCAACCCGTTGGCCGGCTGTTGGTTTTGCTTTCCATGTGGGTTTGTTTGTTCTTTTATGGATAGAAATATGAGTTTTGTTTGGATTAGAGCTTATAAGCGAGTTTTAAAGTTGTTATTGTTTTGGTGATATTGTTATTATACATGTATGGATTAAAATGCATCGTTTTTTCAATCTTTTAGCAGTAACAATACACGGATTGTTTCTTTAATGTGACGGGAACTAGCACTCAAAATGATTGATTGTTATATCTCGGCTTTTAGTTGTGATTATTGAGATTTTTTTGTCACTGCTTTTAACTGATGTGACATACACAATCACATATACTAAACGTTGTATTTTACTATGCATTGAATTCGACAATAAGGTATAATATTATACATACATTCACAACAATACATCTATTTAACAATTACAATTTCCAAAAGTATTTTTTTTAGGTCAAAATTTTGTACTTTGTAGAGAGTTGTGTGGTTTTCGAGCTAGAGGTAGAGTTGTGGTGGTTTTGTAGTTTGCAATTATATTGTTTTTCATTGCACTAAAAAGGTATTGAATAGTTATATAGAAGATAACTGGTTCAACATCATATTAGGATTAAAATAATAAAATAATATTTTTTTCGATCCAATTTTTCTTTCTTTATTTGTAAGAGAGTTCACATCATCAAGTTGAATTAAACTTTGGTTTGATCTAATTCAGATGTCATTTTTCTTCTTCTTTACTATCAAGAGGATTCATATAACCGAAGTTGAATTAAACTTTGGTTTGATCTGATCCAACTTTCAATGGTTATGATCTTGTGGAATGGGATTCAGGTTTTGTATAGTTCTATAATTTATAAATAACTAAAACTAAATTATATATTTGAATATCAATAGGAACAAAGCACGAAGATACAACAACAATACAACGTCAACCATTTGCCAAACTACTCTCAGTAAAACCGGTCCATGGAACTGACCTACCGCAAATGGAAAAGGAAACAATGCAAGCAGTAAAGAACGCTTCAAAATGGTGTACCAAGTTCACTCCTAGTTTCAGACGGGCTGTAAAGGGCAGACCGGTTTCTAGGCCTGTTCTCCTCCAATTGCTTCACTACTTCATCCATGGTTGGCCTGACAGAAGGAACTGGAGCACAGCACCCCATTGCAAGCTTCAACGCCTGTAGCAGACCTTCCTCCATGGGGTTTCTGAGACCCTTCAGAATGTCGATATCGAAAACTTCCATTGTTGTTTCCTCCAGCACTGCCTCCTTCACAGTCGATGGCAGGTCCACAAAGTCACCATCCTTCCCATTTTTCCCTGGTTTCTTGCCTATCAAGATCTCAAGCAGAAGTATGCCGAATGCATATACATCCGTCCTGGAATTGCACTTCTTCAAGTTCTGGAGCTCCGGTGCTTTATAACCATCTGTTTTCGCTTGGGCTACAATCTCCTCAGCTACAGTTGGGACCATCAACTTGTCAAGTCCAAACTCGGTGAGCCTAGCAACGGAGAAATCGTCGACCAGCACGTTTTTCGACCTCACGTTGCCATGTGTAATAGGCGTCTCGAGACTCGTATGGAGATATGCTAACCCCCTGGCAATGCATAACGCTATCTTGTGTCGCTTGGCCCAGTTGAGCATTGGCTTCCCCACTTTAGTCTCTACATTCAGACATGTACATAAAACAGATTATGATGATGACGATGATGCATGAGAATGATTCCAATCAATGCAAGAACGAATCCAATATGCGAAGTCAAACTAGAAGCTAAAGGTTTGTTCTTATGATGGATTGTAGCCCAAGCAAAAAACAAAAGACATGCATTGCAACAGGAAAGCCAGAGAGAGGGAGAGACCAAACGTCTTTACCATGTAACAGATCATAGAGATTACGGTGTGGAAGATAGTCATAAATAAGCAGCTTTTCACCCCTTTTCCCTTGGTAGAAAGCTCTCAAGGGAATCAAATTCTCATTCCTTATTTTCCCTAGTTGTTTGATCACAGATGAACAAGAACTTCCATCCTTACAGCTCCCTTCTCTTAAAAGCCTCAGAGCGATCGTGCTCCCATCACTTAACTTCGCCTTGTATATGGTCCCGTAGCTCGTTTTCTCCATAACTTGTCCCGTGGCATTCAGCACATCGTTGAGAGTCAAATGCTCGCCACCTTGGAACATCACCAGCTTCCCTTCTCCACCACCACCATTTTCCTCATCATCTTCTCCTTCCTCCAGTTCATCCTCACTATCTCCCCTCCCTTTCCTCTTCTTGTTCTGTACATAACCAATCAACAGTGAAGCCAAGACCACCACTCCAGTCATCAACCCGATCACGATCCCAGCTATGGTGCCAGCGCTCAAGCCCCCAGAAGTTGCAGCTCCACTGCAACTTTTCAAGGGAAACCCGCAAAGTGTGGGACTGTTCCCTTCAAAAGCCTCCACCCCAAATTTGGAGCCCTGGAAAGTGGCAGGCAACATCCCACTGAAGTTATTGTGCGAAAGATTCAACTTATCCAGGCTTTGTAAGCCCTGAGGAATCTGCCCTTCAAACGCATTACTTGAAAGATCAAGCTCCTTCAACCCTACAAACTTGGTGACAAATTCAGGGAACTTCCCTGAAAACCTATTGCTACCAAAATCAAGCACCTCCAACTTCTCGCAAGTGGAATTGGGTAGTAATGCGGCAGGGTCAGGAACCACCCCAGATAAGGAATTGCCATGAACCCTAACTATCACTAATTTATCGCACAAGTTCCAAACTGAAGGAGGTAAAGACCCAGTTAACAGATTGCCACTCAAATCAATATGAGAGAGTGAAGAGCTGTAACCGAGCTCGAGGGGTATGGTTCCAGTGAGCGAGTTGAAGTTAACGAACAAACCTTGAAGCATTGAGAACTCACCAACCTCTCTGGGGAGTGAACCAGTGAGGTTAGCCGAAGGGAGCTGGAGGGAGTAAAGGTGAAGAGAAGGGTCTTTGAAGAGGGAAAGATTGGACCACTGTGGAGCAGAGAGGTCCTCTGAACAAGAGAGAGGAGAGCCATTGGAGAAAACCCATTTGAGACCCCGCCATTGACAGAGTGGGACGGTGGTGGAGTTCCAAGATGAAAGCAGGAGGTTTTCATTGTTGTTACCTTGGAGCAAAGGTTTGATCTTGCCAAGGAGAAGCTCAACATCCGTCGTGGTAGCAGCAGAACTGTGGGCTAAGGCGATGGCGGAGAGGAAGAAGATGTGGGAAATTGTGCAGGGAGAGTAAAGTTTGGGAACCGCCATTACTGAAAGAGGAGAAAGTAAGACTGGAAGAAACCAGTGGGTTGAGTGAGTGAAGTTAGTGGAGGAACTAAACAAAGGAAAGGGGAAAGAGTAAACTAATAAAAAGCAGAGCTTTGGACTACTTTGTACGCCGTCCGATCAGCAGTCTTTCTCTTGGGGAAAGGTGGCGACCAGGGCAATCGACGGTGGAGCGAGAAATGGGCCCATTTGTCATTATTTGAAATTTCTTGGGTTGTTGTCTTGTTGAATTGTTGCTAGTAGAAAAGAGAACAACGGCCAACGGGCAGGTGGGAGACTGGGAATGATGAAGCATAATGAGTATGCCATTGGCATGCTTTGGCCTTTGAGTGGCAAACTTACTAATAATATGTGTGCTTTTGTCAGTGTTTGTTGTATACTACTTGGTATGAATAAATAGAAATAGTAACTGAAAAGGAGAAAGATGTAAATATATTATATACTGTGGATCAGGAAGAAGAGATGTTGATCTTCTTGTTGATTGGAACTAGCTGGGATCACCATTAGTCTAGACCCTCATGTCAATTCGGACACCTGATCTAGTGGTGTTACTGGTGGTGAGCGTGTCCTTGTTGCTTGTGATATTGAAGCACAAGCAACATCAAGCTATTGAAGTAAGATCACAAGGTGGCCTAACAGCTTGGCCACATACATGTACCACTAGTCACTACAGCTAGATTCAGCGGTGGCTGTTGTCCGCTCAACGAGCTGGATCACCAGCACTCGAGTCTTGCTCTCATGTTTCGCATTGTCATTCAAACAGACTGGATAGTTCTAACTTCTAAGTGTCCCATATCCACAAGGAAGAGAAATGTTCTGCTGATTACTTCCAAAAATAAGCAGATACATCTAAACCAAACACAAAATATTCTGTTGATTTCTACCCAAAAAAAAAAATCTGTTGATCAAATAGCAAGGGCCAAGGAGAGATAGAAAGAGAAGACCAATGCAATTCCCTCAGTAAGCACCAAGTAACAACAAAGAAGACGGAAACAATACAAACTCAGAACTGTATTTTCCAGTTCATACTTCATACAAACAACTACTTTATCCAGATCAAACAGCAGCATGAACCTGAGAGTCAACTGATCTCAACACTGCCTCCCCCATTTCCTTGCAGCCAACCAGTTTCTGCACAAGGTTGTGTTGTTTATATGAATGCATAATTTTGAATTGAATTCCTACTTCCGACTCATATGTTAGAGCAGAGCCAAGAAGCAAGCTAGCGATGCTTTCAACATAAAGAGATCACTTACAGTGCCGGTTGAATATATATCTCCCGTCCTGAGCCCCTTGTTTAGTGTATCAAGTACAGCATTCTCGATCCTCCTTGCAGCATCTTCTTCCTCTAAGCCATACTTCAAAAGCATTGCAGCACTGAGAATAGTCGCCAGTGGATTTGCTTTATCCTGCGTTATGAAGAATCGAATGTCAATGTGGCTGATATGAAAGACTAATACGAAACTTATCTTTAACATGAAGAAAAATCATGCTGACCTGTCCAGCAATGTCGGGAGCAGAACCATGAATTGGCTCGAAAAGTCCAGGACCCTGTAACCAATTAAATGTTTTCAAGTAAGATGTAAATGACTTCAAGCAAGAGGCCTTGGCTGAAGCGAGATTTTGTAAGTACCGAAGATCCAAGGCTAGCTGATGGAAGCATCCCTATGCTACCAGTGATCATCGAGGCCTCATCGGAAAGTATATCACCGAAGATATTGTTCGTCACTATTGTATCAAACTGCAAACATCAACATGAATTCCACAATTTCAGTTTGCTTGAAAACCCTGTTAACGAATTGTGAGGATCTGTTTGAAGTATGGAGACATAACCTGTTTCGGGTTCCGTACAAGCTGCATTGCTGCATTGTCGACGTACATATGCGAGAGTTCAACGTCGGGATACTCTTCTGCAATGGCAGTTACTCGCCTTCTCCACAGCATTGATGCCTACATAGTATTTAACACAATGAAAAATTTGACTACTGTCAAGAGATGTTACCAAAGAATTCTGCACAAATACCTCTAAGACGTTTGCTTTATCGACAGAACAAAGCCTTCCCTGCCGCTTCCTTGCAGTCTCAAATGCAACACGAGCAATCCGATCAATCTGGTACAACCATAAGTTTCACATCAACCAACTATTCACAACAAACGATGCAAAATATAAGAACTAAATTGCTCTATTGTACCTCATATGCTGCATAGACCTCGGTATTGAAACCGACTTCCTCGCCGTTTTCATCTGTTCTAAATCCCCTTGGCTTGCCAAAGTAAATACCTATTTCCAAACAAAAGATTGCTTCAGCTTGGTATAAGCCAGAAAGAAAAACACATACGTGTGCAAGAGATGAAAAGCCAAAATAAATAAAACGCACCTCCAGTAAGCTCCCTTACAACCATAACATCAACACCTTCAGCAACTTCTCTCTTCAAAGTTGAAGCCTCCACTAACTAGCTAGCACACGATACAACAATCATTATGCATATGCCTACTCTCTGCATTCATGAAGCTGAAGGCAAATCAAAGACCTTCAAACAAGCACTACCTGAGGCAGGACAGTAGCTGGCCTCAAATTTGCAAAGACCTTGAGACCTTCTCTAATCTGGAGCAATCCAGTCTCGGGCTTCAAATGTTTGGCATTATTGTCCCATTTGTACCTTTGGAATGCCACAGGAAACTAGCACTATTACGGAATTGAAGATTGAAGCGAAAAGAATCGCGTAGGCTTAAGAAACAAACATCCAACGCTAGCTCGACTTACCCGCCAATTGCTCCAAGAAGAACTGCATCAGAATTTTTAGCGGCTGCTAAGGTTTCGTCCGGTAATGGAACTCCCACCAAGTCCAATGCTGATCCACCCATAGGCATCTCTTGGAAGTTAAACTCAATCCCTAGCACATCCAAGCCATCATATGTGTGAAAGTTAGATTCCAATACACTGTAAGTAATCAATCTAACCAAAATATCCGTTAAGCCACAGGCTAGTTTGAACATCTAAAACCACTCCCAACCAATCGAACTACTTGATAAGTAGCTCTCTTTACATTAAGAGCTAATAGCATAACAAGACTATACACATGTAAACCATCTCTAGCATTTCATTGCAGTAATCCTCTTTACTCTCAGTACCAAACTAACCTGAAAGACTCTGAATTTACATTTTACTGGCGATTTTCACTACACAAGTTCTTCCACTTCCAGTTCTTTTATCTTCTTCTAAGCACAAGGTACTTGCAGAAAAACAAACCTACCTTCCAGAGAACCAGTGAGCTTGAGGACGTCCTTGGCCACAGAGATGACTTCGGGGCCAATGCCATCTCCAGGAAGGAGAGTAATCGAATACCGTTTCTGTGGCCCATTCGCCGCCGCGCAGCTTACACTGAACGGTCGCCGGGAGCATTTGGAAGCAGGGTTAACCCGAAACGCTGTGCTCACTGGCTTGCAATTGATTCGCAGAGAAGCCGCCATTCCCCTGTCACAGAAGATAAAAGATTGGGATATCCAAAGATAAATTAAACACGGAGAGCTGAAAGCTCAATAGGGGGAAAACGGAAGTTTATCCCCATTGAAGCGATCCAGCCCAATGGCTAGTTTCGATTGAAAGTAACAAAGCTGCTTACTTTTAATTCCACTTCGCCTAGACTGTCTTTCAGAGAGCAGCAGACGGCCGGTTTTGAGCTGAGTTTTCCTGGGCCGCAGCCAAGAAGAGGAAAGAAAGAGACGTTCGGCGGCGGCACTCGGCAGCCAGGTACTTCGTCCGGGTCGTTTTCCGGGTCAATAAACCGAAGGGCCGGCTATAAACTACCGCTGGCCTGGCGGGGGGAAAGGAAAGCGTAAACCATAAGGCCTCGGGAATCCATTTCTCTCGCCAGCCCATACGTCAGAAGCCCAGCCTACTTGAGTCCACAACCAGCCCATCGCCGACGAAATTTGGCGCGCCGTCCCCCACCCGCCACCACGTTTGAGACATAATCAATTTACCTGACCAAATTAAAATTAAAAATAAGATTTTATTTTAGGTGATAATTTATAATTAAACTAATTTACATTTTCTCTTTAATTTCAATTTTCCGAAATGTTCTTCTAGTCTAGAGCGAGAAATCGCAGAGAAAGAAAGAGAGAGAGTGGGAGACAGCGACGAAGTGGCGAGGAGAACGACGAGATCAAGCGGTCCTCTCCCATTCTTCCGTGATCTGTAAAGATTCTCTCTCTCCGTCTCCCGTTGCCGTCGCATCCTTCGGCCGCCACCGTGTTCTATTTCGTGTCTGTACAGACGATTGAATAGGGAGAAAGAAAGGGAAGGAATTGAAGCCGAGGGAGGGAAGGGAGGAATCAATCGATCAATCATGTCTCTCAATATGAAAACCTTTACGCAAGCGCTGGCCAAGGCGGGGGCAGTGATCGAGAAAACGGTGCAGACGACCGTGCAGGAAGTGACGGGTCCGAAGGCATTGCAGGATTACCAGCTCATCGACCAGATCGGTTCCGCCGGCCCCGGCCTCGCCTGGAAGCTGTACTCCGCTCGGCCGGTGAGGGAGGCGGCGCGGCAGTACCCAGTGGTTTGCGTATGGGTGCTGGATAAGAAGGCTTTGTCAGAGGCGCGAATCCGGGTCGGGTTGTCCAAGGCCGCGGAGGACTCATTTCTGGATGTGGTTCGGGCGGATGCGACGAGGCTGGTGCGGCTGCGGCACCCTGGGGTTGTCCATGTGGTGCAGGCGTTGGACGAGAACAAGAATGCCATGGCGATGGTGACTGAACCGCTCTTTGCCTCGGTTGCTAACGTCCTTGGGAATTTGGAGAATGTTGAGAAGGTCCCGAAGGAGCTCAAGGGAATCGTAAGTAATTTCGCTCTAGATTGAATTCAGTTCAAAATTGTGGATTTCGATCTGGGTTGGTCTGTTCGCAACAGTTGTTTTCATTTGGTGAAGATTCAGTTTTCCGCTAACTTATAGGAGCTCAACTGAAATGCCTAAACTTGACTTGTAGAACTCTAGTCTTGATTTAGTAAATGCAGAGCAGAACTGATGAATCCTGTCAATTGTTGGTATATTGGTCGGATCTGTATGTGCATTGAGTTATTCGAAGTCTGACCAATGAATATCAACCTTATAGGAAATGGGGCTGTTGGAGGTGAAACATGGGTTGCTCCAAATTGCAGAAACGTTGGACTTTCTCCATAACAATGCACATCTAATCCACCGGGCGATAGCTCCCGAGGCAAGTTCCTGGAGTTTGTTCTGAGTGGTAGCTTGAACACTGGAGTTTGTTTCCCAGAATCTATTTCTGTATTTTCAATTTATACAATTAAAGCTTTCAACATTGACTTTCTGATTTACAGAATGTTCTTATGACTGCAAGTGGAGCATGGAAGCTTGGTGGATTTTGCTTTACGATTCCAAGCGACCAAGGTGGCAATTTGGCTAGTTCTCACGCCTTCCATTATGCTGTGAGTGTTACTTCATATTTCGATCATGTTTTCAACTGGCATTTAAATTGGGCTAGTTCAGCCTCCCATCAATGGGTTTGTTTTATTTGTTCTATCTGCTAGTTGTACTTTACATGATGCTGTTCCTAGTAAATCAACTGACATATCTTGTGTTGATTTATCTTGTTTTACATTGCAACAATCAAATGTTCCAATTTTCAGTGAAGATGATGCATTTAGGCCCACAGAGTTGTGTACATTAGTTTAATATTAGCTTTTTACTAGTGATCCCATGCTATCATGTGTCTTTAAACGCCTTTTTGGTTAATCGTCAATTACTCTTGTCTTGAGCACCCTTTTGGTGTTAATCTCGTATTACCTGTCTTCTGCAGGAATATGATGTGGAGGATTCCATCATGCCTCTACAACCATCTTTAAATTACACCGCACCTGAACTTGTTCGTAGCAAAGTGCCTTCTGCTGGGAGTGCATCTGACATTTTCAGCTTTGGATGCCTTGCTTACCACTTGATTGCTCACAAACCTTTGTTTGATTGCCACAACAATGTCAAGATGGTATTCTTTCCTTTTATAGCTAATGTTTTCTAGGGGTTTGTAACTCTAAGTGGCTCATTTGTTCCTTTCTCTCACGGCTTTCTTATCACCTGTAGTTAACAAAATGCATTTTTAATGAACCGTGAGGGCTGAGCTGTGTATAATTACGTTGGTGATATTTGACTTACCCTAGGTTTAAATCTTAGAGTCCATACAGGTATAAAACAAATGAGCTTCAGTGCATGCGATGCAATTTGGATTTTCATCCTTCACCGAAGAATGTAATGGATTATGCATGTATGCTATTCCATGAGGTTTTTATAGCTTAATGCTTCCAAGCTGACCTTTGGACCGTATTTTTCCTTGCCATGTGCACTCATTCCATATTTTTTATTTTTTTTATTAGTGTACAGTTCTTATTGAACTGCTCAATACTACTGGTATTCTGTTCATTTGGCTTCTGATTATGACCTGAAGAGAAGTGGCCTAGAAATATACTGAATCCTCTGGAAGAGCAGTAAAATGTGCATAATTATACAAGTGGATGAAATTTAATTGGTTCTCTTTCTGTTTGCAGTATATGAATACTTTGAATTACTTGTCCAGTGGGTCATTCTCCTCCATTCCTTCTGAACTAGTACCTGACTTGCAGAGGATGCTCTCTGCAAATGAATCTTTCAGACCTTCTGCCATGGATTTTACAGGTAAATACATCACTATTTAGATTTTAGACTGCAATGCAATAGTTCATAATGAGAGGGTAAGAAGATAAATAGATTTTCTTACCAATAAAAAAGAAGATGAATAGATTTATCTAGTGCTGATATAATAGTGATGGGGTTTACTCTTTAGTGGACAATTAGTTTGACTGACTCTGGTGCAATTGAGGCTTTTATTTTAAGATGCTCCTCTTTCAAACACGATCGAAGTATTTCTTGTAGAAGGGTTTGTTTGGCTTAGTTTGCTTTTACATTGTTTTAAACCCTAATGTGGATTTAGGAAGAATAGACCATGAAAGACGTAGGCTTGGTTTTGGAATAAACTACATATATTCTAGATGAACTTCCAACGCCATTCCTGTTTACTCATTGTGTTGTTTTATTTCAGGTTCTGGATTTTTCCGTAATGACACGAGGTTGCGTGCTCTTCGCTTCCTGGACCACTTGCTTGTATGCCTTTGTGTTTAACCTTGGGAAATTTAAGCTGAACTCTGATGATTTTGGAATGCAATCAATTGCGGATTCATGAACGTTCTCTTACCTTTCAGGAGCGAGATAATATGCAGAAGTCTGAGTTCTTAAAAGCATTATCCGATATGTGGAAGGATTTTGACTCACGTGTATTGCGGTACAAGGTTTGAGTTTTATTTGGTGCTACATTACCTGGCCAATCTTTCTGGACTGTATTGTTAGATACTAGATAGCAATTCAGTATCTATTTGTGGAGCACTCTATCTAGAAGAGTCAGCTGGTATATTATTACTATAGAAATTAAACACCAAGTATTTAATGGCCAATGCTGGTACCTGCTTGTTTTGCAAGGTGAATCTGTGTTCTCATGTTTGTGTTTGATTATGGAGCATGTGGCGATAAATTTTCATCATGTATTTTATTAGCAAAATATCATTTGTTAGATCTGTCTCATTCCCTTGTTGTTTGTTTGTGTATTTCTTCTTTGTCCTTTTTTTATTATAAATTTCTATTTTGGCGGAAGTTACTAACTTAAGTGCTTTTCCAGGTGCTTCCACCTTTATGCGCAGAACTCAGAAATATGGTTATGCAACCAATGATTCTCCCCATGGTTCTCACCATAGCCGAATCTCAGGTATTGAATTTGTTAGCTGAATGACGTCTTTTGTTGTGTCTACATAGCCAGATACTTATGTTTCTTGGTTGTCGTTCATACATTGATGTCTCTTTGTCCACCCATTGATTAGGGTAACCTTGATTTTATCGAACTTAGATACTCCAGCTTCACTAAGGAATATTTATGGTTCTCATTTTGAAATATCTTAGTGTATGAATTTGCTCCTTTAATGTCTATAGTAACCATTTAAACTTTTGAGAAGGCTATCCTTGTACGGAACATTTTTTGTTGGGAACTAAGTGTGTATAGTAGCTCCCTTGTTTTTGACAGTTTCCTCAAATGCTTGTTTGGTAGAGGAAGAAAAAGTAAAATTTTCTTATTTCTTTCTGGTTTCATCTTGGACATTAGGCTTCTTGGATGTGACATTTTGTCTTGGGCTAAAGTTCTAAGTTGAGAAGTGCATTGCTCGTGCAGATAAACCCTCATTTGTGTACCTGAGGAAATCATTTTTGCATTCCTATGGTCTCTTGTGTGCATATCCATGTGAATTTTTTTATTTTCTGCAAAACGAATAAGTGATGGACAGTTAAACTGATACATATGAGTTTATATCGAGGAGTGATCAAAATTATGATTTTCCATCTATTGTAGGATAAAGTAGATTTTGAGCTTTCAACCCTTCCAGCTCTTGTTCCTGTCCTCAGTACCGCTGCTGGTGAGACACTACTTCTTCTTGTCAAGCATGCAGATCTCATAATCAACAAGGTAACTTGCTCTATCCACACACCATTTTTTGTCCGTATTTTTTGTGGTCAGTAAATTTCTTCCTTGTTTAACTATATGGCATTGGTAGAGAAGGGGGAGTAACCAAAGATGTAAGAAAAAAAAAGAGGGGAAATATAGAAAGATGAAAAAGAAAAAGAAAAAAAGGGGGTTGCAGCGAGAGGATGTTCTCAACTGTTACTCTTTTTTTTCATCTATTTATGATTAGTGTCAGAATTTGTTGATTACAGTTAATAGCACCATCATAGAAACAAATTTCTATTCCTTCATCTAGAGCTTTTGTACTGTAAATTTTTGGGGAATTATTGATTTCTTCTTTTTAATCTTCATCCTGCTTTTCACTAATTTCATGAATATGTTCGACATTAGAATAAGTCAGTACTAATATCCCATTCTGT